TCTACTTCTATGAGGTCCACTTTAAAAAAAAAAAGTATTTATTTATTTTTTCAAATTTTATTTTTTGTTATTTATTTATTCATTTATTTATTTTGAGACGGAGTTTCCCTCTTGTTGCCCAGTCTGGAGTGCAATGGTGCGATCTTGGCTCACTGCAACCTCTGCCTTCCGGGTTCAAGCGATTCTCTTGCCTCAGCCTCCTGGGTAGCTGGGATTACAGGTGCCCGCCACCATGCCCAGCTAATTTTTTGGTATTTTTAGTAAAGATGGGGTTTCGCCATGTTGGCCAGGCTGGTCTCGAACTCCTGACCTCAGGTGATCCACCCACCTTGACCTCTCAAAGTGCTGAGATTACAGGCATGAGCCACCATGCCCAGACTTGTTTATTTTCATTATTTTTATTTCAATAGGTATTTGGGGGAACAGGTGGTGTTTGGTTACATGAATAATTTGTTAAGTGGTGATTTCTGAGATTTTGGCGCACCCGTCACCTGAGCAGTATACACTGCACCATATTTGTAGTCTTTTATCCCTCACCCTTCCCCTGAGTCCCCAAAGTCCATTGTGTCATTCTTATGCCTTTGCATCCTCATAGCTTAGCTCCCACTTAAAAGTGAGAAAGTATGACGTTTGGTTTTCCATTCCTGAGTTACTTCAGTTAGAATAATGGTCTCCAATCCATCCAGGTTGCTGCAAATGCCATTATTTCATTTTCTTTTTATGGCTGAATAGTATTCCGTGGTATGTCTCTCTCTCTCTCTCTCTCTCTCTATATATATATACACACACACACACATATATATATATCACATACCATGGAATAATATATGTATGTATGTATCTATCTATCTATCATCTATCTATCTATATATCACATTTTCTTTATCCACTTGTTGATTGATGGACATTTGGGCTGGTTCTATAATTTTGTAATTGTGAATTGTGTTGCTATAAACATGTGTGTGCAAGTATCTCTTTTGTATAATGACTTATTTTCCTCTAAGCAGATACCCAGTAGTGGGATTGCTGGATCAAATGGTAAATCTACTTTTTGTCCTTTAAGGAATCTCCACTGTTTTCTCTAGTGGGTGTACTAGTTTACATTCCCACCAAGAGTGTAAAAGTGTTCCCTTTTCATCACATGCACAACACCCATTATTTTTTGACTTTTTGATCTTTGATTTTGTTATTTTTTTATTGTGGCCATTCTTGCAGGAGTAAGGCGTAGGGTCCGCTTTTTAGGATTCCACATGTGTATGAGATCATGTGGTATTTGTCTTTCTGTGTCTGGTTTATTTCATTTAACATAATGTCCTTTAGGCTCATCTATATTGCAAATGACAGGATTTCATTCTTTATTAATACTTTTTTAATGGCCAAATTGTGTATAAATCCATTGTGTAACACCAAAAGCAATGGCAACAAAAGCCAAAATTGACAAATGGGATCTAATTAAACTAAAGAGCTTCCGCACAGCGAAAGAAACTACCATCAGAGTGAACAGGCAACCTACAGAATGGGAGAAAATTTTTGCAATCTACTCATCTGACAAAGGGCTAATATCCAGAACCTACAAAGAACTCAAACAAATTTACAAGAAAAAAAAACCCCATCAAAAAGTGGGCAAAGGATATGAACAGACATTTCTCAAAAGAAAACATTCATGCAGCCAACAGACACATGAAAAAATGCTCATCATCACTGGCCATCAGAGAAATACAAATCAAAACCACAATGAGATACCATCTCACACCAGTTAGAATGGCAATCATTAAAAAGTCAGGAAACAACAGGTGCTGGAGAGGATGTGGAGAAATAGGAACATTTTACACTGTTGGTGGGATTGTAAACTAGTTCAACCATTATGGAAAACAGTATGGCGATTCCTCAAGATCTAGATCTAGAAGTACCATATGACCCAGCCATACCATTACTGGGTATATACCCAATGGATTATAAATCATACTGCTATAAAGACACATGCACACGTATGTTTATTGCAGCACTATTCACAATAGCAAAGACTTGGAATCAACCCAAATGTCCATCAGTGACGGACTGGATTAAGAAAATGTGGCACATATACACCATGGAATACTATGCAGCCATAAAAAAGGATGAGTTTGTGTCCTTTGTAGGGACACGGATGCAGCTGGAAACCATAATTTCTCAGCAAACTATCACAAGAACAGAAAACCAAACACCGCATGTTCTCACTCATAGGTGGGAACTGAACAATGAGATCACTTGGACTCGGGAAGGGGAACATCACACACCAGGGCCTATCATGGGGAGGGGGAAGCGGGGAGGGATTGCATTGGGAGTTATACCTGATGTAAATGACGAGTTGATGGGTGCTGACGAGTTGATGGGTGCAGCACACCAACATGGCACAAGTATACATATGTAACAAACCTGCATGTTATGCACATGTACCCTAGAACTTAAAGTATTAAAAAAAAATCCATTGTGTATAAATCACATTTTTTGTTGTTGTTGTTTTTAGATGGGGTCTCGCTCTGTTGCCAGGCTGGAGTGCAGTGGTGCAATGTCGGCTCACTGGAACCTCTGGCTCCTGAGTTCAAGCAATTCTCCTGCCTCAGCCTCCCAAGTAGTTGGAACTACAAGCGTGTACCACCACACCCAGCTAATTTTTGTATTTTTACTAGAGACCGGGTTTCACCATGTTGGCTAGGCTGGTCTTGAACACTTGACCTCAGGTGCTCCACCTGCCTCGGCCTCCCAAAGTGCTGGGATTACAGGCATGAGCCACCGTGCCTGGCCCATTATTTTATTAAATAGACTTTCTTACCCTTTTCTCCCTCTTTGCCTGCTGGGACCCCAATAATTTGAAAATTTGGTTGCTTTATGGTATCATATGTCATGAAGGCGTTTATCATTCTTTTTAAATTCTTTTTTATTTTTGCCTTCCTGGGTTATTTCAAAAGATGTGGCTTTAAGTTCTGAAATTCTTTTTTCTACTTAATTTAGTCTTTTATTGAAGCTTTCAAATAGATTTTGTACTTCATTCAATGAAGTCATTTCCAGAATTTGTGTGGTTCTTTTTTATGTCTATCTCTTTGGTAAATTTCTCATTCATATCCTAAATTGTTTTTCTAATTTGTTTGTATTATTTTTCTGAGTTCTTTTGTATCTCACTGAGCTTCTTTAATATCATTATTTTGAATTCTTTATCCAGGTATAGCCTCTGTATGATTTATTTGGCTGAAAGCAACATCAGTAGTGTTATTTCCTCTGTGGCTTAAGGTGCAGTCGTTAGTGGAGACTGTGAATCTTTTCCAGGGATAGGAGATGTCAGGTGGGCCGGTTTTCGGGCCCAGCGGTGGCAGTGGTGGGCCAAGTATGCCTGTCCTTGAGCCCCAGGATGGTGTATGCTGGCACAGGTCTTAGCAGGTTCAGGTGGGCCAATTCCCAGGCTTCCAGGTGGCTTGCTTGGGTGCTGGTATTGCCAGCCATGGGCCAGGTAGGTGCGTAGTTCCTGGGGCCACTGGGTAGCAAGGGTGGCATGGGCAATGGCAGTAATATTGGCAGGACAATCTAGCTCCCAGTCAGCTGGTGCTAGTGTTGGTGATGGCTGCAATGGGCTGAGCAGGCCAGTCTCCAGGCCCATAAGTGGCACATGCAAGTAGATGCCGCCTGAGGTGGTAGTGGTGGCCAGCTGGGTGTGTTCAGCCTCAGGCTCCTGGGACTATTCTCATCTCCTGGAAATGCTTGTGCATCAGTTTAAAATCACCTCTTTGCTGTGATCCGGGGAGACTAGCGAATGTCAAATTCCTTCAGTTCCCAGAGATAGGTGATTTAGGATGCAGTGGAAGCTGCAAAAGTTTGGGTGCTCACTGCGTGGAAGAACTCCCTCCAGGGAGAGTCTATAGACTTACCACTGGAGCAAGCAAGGGCCAAAGGCTTGGGCAGTGTCTGAACTCCCATTCAGGCTCCCAGGGGTCCAGCATTTGTCTGTCCGGTTCACTTCCAGATACAGGCTGGTTAAAAGCATGACTATCAAGCAGCAGCTGGAAGAGTGTGCTGGCAAATCCTTTTTGAGAAACTGGGAGCTGTGCATTTTGACCCCTTCTCTGCACTGCTCCGGTTGGGGGAGTGAGGCGGAGGAAGGCTAGTCTTGAAGTGCTTGTGTGCCTGCTTAAAACCACCTTTTTCTTCTGTGAGCTAGGGAGACTCACATATGCTTAATCCCTTCCATTTCCAGAGCTAGGGGGTTTAGGATGCAGTCCTTTGAGTGCAGGTCTAAAAGTTGGGGTGTTCAATGTGTGGACAAACTTCTTCCAGGAGGAATGGAGAGACCTGGATTTATTGCCGGTCTGAGCTGGGCTGAAGGCTTGGGTGGCACCTAGCTTCTGTTCAGGCTCTTGGAAGTCTGTAGTTTACCTACCTAGTCAACTCCCTGATGCAGGCTCGTTAGGAACTTAACCATCAACAGTTAGGGTGCTATATGTGTGGGTCACCCCTTCTCTCGTTGGGGAGAAGCTGGGAACTGGGGATTCCTTCCTGATTGTATGGCTCAGTGCCCAGAGTGGGTTTAGTATTTCCGAGTGCTTCAGCTTTTCCTGCCTGTTTGATAAGACATTTTTTTCTTTTTTTTCTTTTTTTCTGAGATGGAGTCTTGCTCTGTCACGTCACCCAGGTTGGAGTGCAGTGGTGCAATCTTGGCTCATGCAACCTCTACCTCCTGGGTTCAAGCAATTCTCTTGCCTCAGCCTCCTGAGTAGCTGGGACTACAGGCGCCTGCCACCACACCCAGCTAGTTTTTTGTATTTCAAGTAGAGATGGGGTTTCACCGTGTTAGCCGGGATGGTCTTGAGCTCCTGACCTCGTGATCTGCCCACCTCGGCCTCCCAAAAGGCTGGGATTACAAGCGTGAGCCCCCGCGCCTGGCCTGATAAGACATTTTCTTAGTTGCCTGGTGTGTAAGTCTCTCAACTCACTTCTGACTTTCTTCCAGAGACAAACGATCCAGGCATAGATGTTTATTCAGTGCATCAGAGTCAGGAACCTCCTACGTCACTGTGTTCCTGGCGTCCCTTCTCTGATGACGCTTTTTAATGCTGAAATTTGGGTGAGAAGGCACTCAAATGGAGTTCAGAAAATGCAGGCAGTGATGAAAGGTAGGGGAGTTCCTTTATTGTTTTTTGTTTTTGTTTTTTTGGTTTTTTTGGGTTTTTTAACAGAAAAAGATAAATTCCCAGCCCTGGATCTACTTAGACTGGGCTCAACCCATTAAAGATGTTTGGAAATATGTTTCAGTGGATCAGATCACAGACCTCCCCTAGAAGCTATGTGTAAGAAGTTACGCTGAAGATTGGAGCTGGTCATACTCAAGGCATACTGGAAAAAGATACTGATTTAGGCTGCTGGTGTCATCTTCCCCTGGCAAGTCGTAGATCTTTACAAATTCATCTATTTCACAGACAGTGGAGGCCCAAGGAGGATTTGAAGCCCCCAGACATATCTGTTCAATGTCATGTGCCCAAGAGTCCCAGGATGAATCCCTCACAGAGGCGCCGGCTCCTCCCGGATTCTTGATATCAGAAGGCTCATGGAGACCATGGTCATTTGCATCAGAGATTCTGGGACTTACTGGATGAATGTTTGCAGTACTTATAGCTGAGGGAGTCTCCTCCTCCTTCACTGAAAGGGTCTGGTTTGATGGTCCTAGTGATGGCCATGGCTGCATTCGCTGCCGCTGCTGCCTCTTCCATTTGGCACGCTGGTTCTTGAACCAAATCTGGGGAGGGAGGAGTAGGGAGGTCAATAATGGAGGTTGAGTATAAAGGGGCATCCTCATGTTCCTTAGGAATTTGGTTTTTTGGAGTGAGAGTTAGTCTCACATTTATTGGAACAAGGCAAGCTCTTTCTATCCTCTGCTGTCCTGGGTTTCAAGGGAAAAGTGGGGGTAGGATTGTACTAACAATGGGTGGAATATGACTTAGATCATGATGTATTAAATAGAAGGGTGTTTGTATTAGTGGTGTATTTTTTTTTTCTTTGAGACAAGGTACTACTCTGTCACCCAGCCTGGAGTGCAGTGGTGCAATCATAGCTCACTGCAGCCTTGAACTCCTGGGCTTAAACAATCCTCCTAGCTCAGTCTCCCAAGTAGCCGGGACTATAGCCATGTGCCTCCAGGCCTGGTTAATTTTTAATTTTTTTTTTTTTTGTAGAGACATGGTCTTACTATGTTGCCCAGGCTGGTCTTGAACTGGGCTCAAGCAATCCTCCTGCCTCCACCTCCCAAATTGCTGGGATTACAAGTGTGAGCCACCATGCCTGGTGCCCAGAGAAAGTATTTTAAAGTCAGAGTATGGGGTGAGAGTTTAGCTTGGGTTGTCTTCAGTGTTCATCCAGGTGTTCTCCCCCGAATACTTTGTGGGAACTTAGTGACAGATATTTGGATGACTGTGATCATCCTCAGAACCCACCTTGAATACGCAAGAACAGACCCGAATGGGAGTATCTGAGATCCAGCTTCAAAGAGTCCTGTGTAGCATGGTGGGTCTGGAGTTGGAAAGGTCTGGGTTCAAATTCCAACTCTTATGTTTATAATGCTTGGAAGACAGCTCTTCTATGTGAGCTTTAGTGTTCCTCGGTAAAGTGGGTGCTCATGACAATAAAAATATAAAGTGCTTAACATTTGTCCTTACACATAGCAATTGCCAATAAATAGGAATTGTTATAACGGTGATCAAAAGTGTGTGTGAAGCTCTGGGTTAGGTGTGCTACCTACAGACACACTTGGGAACAGACCTTTACTACGGATAGATCGAGTTGTAGCGTTGAAGCCAGTTTCCCCATGGTAACCAAACTTGGGTGCATGGTCTTTGCAAGCACTTCTCTCAATGCTGTGAGTTGTTTGGAGAGAAATCTTGTGCGTTGCCTACGCTCTCGCCTTGGCCTTTCTGCAGAGGGAACAGACAAAAGACTTTCATTAAAAAAAATTCAGAAGAGGGCCGGGCGCGGTGGCTCAAGCCTGTAATCCCAGCACTTTGGGAGGCTGAGACTGGCGGATCCCGAGGTCAGGAGATCGAGACCATCCTGGCTAACACGGTGAAACCCCGTCTCTACTAAAAAATACAAAAAACTAGCCGGGCGAGGTGGCGGGCGCCTGTAGTCCCAGCTACTCGGGAGGCTGAGGCAGAGAATGGCGTAAACCCAGGAGGCAGAGCTTGCAGTGAGCTGAGATCCGGCCACTGCACTCCAGCCTGGGCGACAGAGCGAGACTCCCTCTCAAAAAAAAAAAAAAAAAAAAAAAAAAAATCAGAGGAAAAGAGGGAGAGTACTACATCAAGGGCAAAATAATCTAAACAACAGCCTTGAGCCCTAGACCTTCCCTCTGACAGAGCCTACACAAATGAGAAGGAACCAGAAAACCAAATCTGGTAATACGACAAAACAAGGTTCTTTAACATCCCCCAAAATCACATTAGTTCACCAGCAATGGATCCAAACCAAGAAGAAATCCCTGACATTCCTGAAAAAGAATTCAGAAGGTCAGTTATTAAGCTAATCAAGGAAGCACCAGAAAAAAGTGAAGCCCAATTTAAGGAAATTAAAAAAAAAAAAAAAGATACAAGAAATTAGGGGAGAAATCTTCAGTGAAATAGAGAGTATAAATAAAAAATAATCAAAACTTTAGGAGACAATGGACGCCCTTATGTGTACTAGACCTAAGAAATGAGATAGCAACACAATGACCAAGAACCCAAAAGCAAATGCAATAAAAACAAAGATAAATAGCTAGGACTTAATTAAACTAAAGAGCTTTTGCTTAGCAAAATGAACAGCCAGCAGAGTAGACACACAACCCACAGACTAGAAGAAAATCTTCACAATCTATACATTTGACAAAGGACTAATATCCAGAATCTGCAACAAACTCAAACAAATTAGCAAGAAAAAACCAAACAATTCCATCAAAAAGTGGGCTGAGGACATTAATAGATAATTCTTAAAAGATATACAAATGGCCAACAAACATATGGAAAAAATGCTCAACATCACAAATGATTAAGAAAATGCAAATTACAATCACAAGAATGGCCATAATAAAAAAAAAATAGATGTTGGCGTGGATGTGGTGAACAGGGAACACTTCACTGCTGGTGGGAATGTAAACTAGTACAACCACTATGGAAAACAGTGCAAAGATTCCTTCCAGAACTATAAGTAGAACTACCATTTGATCCAGCAATCCCACTACTGGGTATCTACCCAGAGGAAAAGAAGTCATTATACGAAAAAGATACTTTCACATGTGTGTTTATAGCAGCACAATTAGCAATTGTAAAAATGTGGAACCAACCCAAATGTCCATCAACCAATGAGTGGATAAACTGTGGTGTGTGTATGTGTATATATATAATTAATATATAATGTATATAAATTATATTGTATATAATTATAATTATATAATTATAATAATATAAGTATTATAATATATATAAATTATATGATGGAATGCTACTCAGCCATAAAAATGAATTAATGATATTTGTAACAACCTGGATGGGATTGGAGACCGTTATTCTAAGTGAAGCAACTCAGGAATGGAAAACCAATCATCGTATGTTCTCACTCATAAGTGGGATCTAAGCTATGAGGATGCAAAGGCATAAGAATGACACAGTGGACTTTGGAGACTCAGGGGAAAGGGTGAGAAGGGGGTGAGGGATAAAAGACTACAAATGCAGTGCAGCGTATACTGCTCGGGTGATGGGCGCACCAAAATCTCACAAATCACCACTAAAGAACTTACTCATGTAACCAAACACCACTGGTTCCCCAATAACCTATGCAAATACAAAAAAATTTAAAAATGTTTTATTAGAATGCAAATATATATAGTCCAAAGGTAAGCTTCTTTCCTGAGCTTGACCTGGGAATCAAGAGCTTCGGCTAAACATTTGACTCACGAGACCCACTTCTCACCCTCTTGCTGGGAGGGTTCCGCATCTGCATTCCTAGAAAACCAGTGCCAACTTCCACTGAGCAGGACACATTTTTAAGCCACAAATGGGATAAGCTTATTTCTGTGGCCTCATCTTACAGCCCCTGGAGGAGGAACATCAACTTCTCCATGACGTTGGGCACCAATTTGTTTTCCTGGCAACTTGGGGGCATCTTTCTGTTTCTCATGCTGCTAATAAAGACATACCTGAAACTGAGTAATTTATAAAGGAAAGAAGTTTAATGGACTCACAGCTCCACATGGCTGGGGAGGCCTCACAATCATGGTGAAAGGCATGGAGGAGCAAAGCCACATCTTACATGGTGGCAGGCAGGGGAGGGAATGAGAGCTAAGCAAAAGGAGAAACCTCTTATAAAACCATCAGATCTTATGAGACTTATTCATTACCATGAGCACAATATGGGGGAAACCGCCCCATGATTCGGTTATCTCCCACCGGGTCCCTCCCACAACGCATGGGAATTATGGGAGCTACAATTCAAGATGAGATTTGGTTGAGTCCTTACTGAGATAGAATAGAATAGTGGCATGATGTTGACACCAGGTTTATATGAGTTTATAAGATTCATAGAGTATTTGAGGCTCTATTATCCTAACCGGTCATAGACTCAGTGGCACTTCTGTCTGTGTTGGTTGGCCTGTGAGACCCTGAAGCTATTGGTTTGACCATTTATTAATGGAGTCAGTAGGAAGCAGATATCAAGCTTAGTGACCTGAGAATGAATGTCGATTCTCATTTACTAGCTCTGTGACTTTGGCAGCATCACTACACTTATACTGTTTGCCTCTGTATCTTTAACAGTAACACGGTCCTAGAAAGTTCACTCCTTTAGGGAAGACGTGAGTAACCAAATAAGTAAGTCTGTTAATTACAGGCTTGGTGCATGTGTTAGTCCATTTTGCATTTATAAAGGAATACCTAAAACTGGGTAAATTAGAAAAGAGGAATTAATTGGCTCACAGCTCTGCAGGCTATACACCAAGCATAGTGCTGGCATCTGCTCCTGGTGAGGGCCTTAGGAAGCTTCCACTCATGACAGAAAGTGAAGGGGAGCCAAGGTGTCACATGGTGAGAGTGGGAGTAAGAGAGAGCAGGGGAAGGTCCTAGACTCTTTTAAACAACCAGCTCTTGTGTGAACTCAGAGACAGAGAACTCACTCATTACCATGAGGATGGCACTAAGCCATTCAGAGGGATCTGCCCCCATGATCCAAACCCCTCCCACTGGGCCCACCTCCAACACTGGGGTGCACATTTCAACATGAGATTTGGAAGGGACAAATATACAAACTGTATTAGTGCAGAATGGGAGTTTTTACTGTGGTTTGGAATGTAAGTAAGACCTCATCATCTAGTAAAACCTGATTCTCATGGTCATCTATTTTATATGAAAGATTCTATTTTCAGGATGCTCTTATTCCTCATACAAATACATGGGGGGGAAAAAAAAAGCCAACATGCTGCCCAGTCATCGCACAGTGAAGACAAGTGATCAAGCACACGGGTTTCTCTTAGCGTCTCAGCATTTGTTTAGACACAAAGGGAGAACAAAAATTTACAGGACATTGAAGAAGAATCCTCAAACAGAAGGGGGACAGCAAGAAAGAGAGAGAGGGAGATACAGAGACAAAGAGAGAAAAAAGAAAGGGAAGGTGGAAGAGAAAAAGAAAAGAGGGGGAAGAGGAGGAAAGCAGCAAGCAAACACATTTTTTTCTTAAGAAAAGAAATAAGGCTGGGCACATTGGCTCATGCCTGTAATCCTAGCACTTTGTGGATCACTTGAGATCAGGAGTTCAAAACCAGCCTGGCCAACAGGGTGAAACCCCCTCTCTACTAAAAATACAAAAAAAAATTAGCCAGGCATGGTGGCAGGCACCTGTAATCCCAGCTACTTTGGAAGCTGAGGCAGGAGAATCACTTGAACCTGGGAGGTGGAGGTTGCAGTGAGCTGAGATCACACCACTGCACTCCAGCCTGGGAGACAGAGTGAAATACTGCCTCAAAAAAATAAATAAATAAATAAATAAAAATAAAATCTATAAATGTTAAAATTAATATTCTCAGATAAATAAAAGATATTGCACTTATACATCAAGATAGTCTTGAAAAGAAAGGAAACTCTGATAAGACAAATGTTCTTTGAAATCAATAGCTAAAAAGAAACCCTTAGGCAATAGTAGAAGAGTTGGAAGACAAAGCTGTTCCAGGAAGTAGAAAAAATATATAAAAGTGAACAAAAAGAGTGAAAAAATCGGAAAATAATAAGATCTCTGCTCAGGGATGTCCAACATTAGCAATATTTATGTGACTAAAAAAGTTTCAGAGTATCATGAAAATATTTATTTTAAAAATTCAAGATTTGAGAGATGAGGCACAGGGGTTCCAGACTGAAGCTATTCCACGATGAGCACAATAAATGAACAAAAGGGTAATTGTTGCAAAAACTTCAGAATACCAGGAATATATAGAAAGTTCCAGAAGCTTCTAAAGGGAAGTAGAATTTCCATTCAAAGGATGGTAGTTAGAATTCTATTGGTCTTTAGAAAAGCAACACTGCACATTGATAAGTTATAGGAGGTAAAATCAATGAAGGATGTGGCTTTGAGTTTAAAATCATCTACCAAGCTAAGAGGTCAATATGTAAAATTGACTAACTAGTATTTTTGTGAGTTTAGTATTAAACAATAGGAAAATGTATTAGAAGAACCAGGTACAAGTTTTAATAAGTGAACTTGTTGATGCATAATTTTTCTATTAGAATCAAATAATTTTAAGAAGTTAAAATAGAAGTAAAATTACATTTATGTCCCCAGCCAAGAAATACACCTTTTTTTTTTTTTTTTTTTTTTTTTTTGAGACAGAATCTTGCTCTGTTGCCCAGGCTGGAGTGCAATGGTGCAATCTCAGATCACTGCAACCTCTGCCTCCCAG